TAACAAGTATTGTCTGGGATTTAAATAGTTAACTCTAGTTCTTAACTCTAGGACTTACCTTTTATTATTTTCTTGTAAACTATTGGACCTTACAAATGTCTTCACATTTCAAAATGTTTTTTTATAGATTTTCACATGCAAAATGACAGATGTCATACCAATTCCCTGATCAAAGACAGGGGAAAATAAAGAAAGGAGAAAAAAGATCTGAAAAGTAATAAGTGGGCAAATTAGAATGTAAATTAGCATAGGCTGTGGGGCAGATAGGAAGACATGTCATGATTTGCGAAACCGCTTTGCTGATCAGTCTAAAAAAGTGCCAGGCAATTCATAAGATTATAGATCAGTAAATGAGCAAAAGACCAGGGCATCTTTGTAAGATTGTAAGATTGCATAGGGCAATATCTTTGGCTGTGGCCATTTCCATGCATGTAAGACTGGTCTTGTATTAATATTAATTATATGAATAAATGGAAAAAGTTTAATGGAATTAGACCATGTCTTGTACAAAGATTATAGAAATTGATTCACACTTTTTTTCAGATTTATGAATTTCCAGGTCACACATTTCTCAGTTTCCCATGTGAGAAGCTTTGTAAAGATTAGATTAAGCTGCACATTTAGATTTGGTAACATTTTAAATCTTGCATGAATCATGGAATGGATGGGGGACTTACAGTGAAGTTGGAAAGTGGGGTACTTTGCTGTGCATAAAAGTTTGACACATGTCGGGGTTCCAAAGTTGCTCAACCTGTAAAGATTTTCATAGTCGCAAGTTGAGTCCTAAATTCCAATCATCACTTGCTCAAAATTGGGTTTATTATTCAACAAAACTGCAGTTCACAGCCAGCTGAGTGTCCCCAGGGTCAGATGGATTTGATTTGTGGTATCTTGGGCTTGCAGTGTGGTTTGCATTTATAAAGTTTATTAGGACCTATCAGAAATTCATCAATAGATTCTGATTATATATTGTATGAACAACATCCCCAACTTTTCATGCATGGATTATTAACTAAAGGCAAATACATTTGTGGCAGCACTCTCACTCCCAGTAAATTTCAGCTGGCCATGAGTAGCATTTACAGTATACAGTAGGTAATACAACAGATGTGAGTGAGCTCCCTTCAGGTAAAAACATTTGAAGTAGTCTTCCGCTGTGCTCTAGTTGGGTGTGCAGTATAATAATCAGCTCTAAATCCCTTTGCCATTTTCAACTGGATACTTGAAATGAATTTGCCAGCATGATAAACTGAATTTAAATGGTTTTGGTGTTTAGCAATTCTGGACATTCAATGTCTGGCTGCCTGTGCACTTGTTTGTGCCCTCCAAATGTGCTTTGCCCTTTAATAAAAGACAGAAACAAGTCTGGAGAAAAGGGAAAATTATTCCGAAATAATGTAAAGCTGTATTCTTTATTGGTCTATAAATAGATAATTATTTTAAATCCACAATTTTATTCCACCTCTCACTTCAGTCTTGCTACAATACTGACCTTGGCTCTATGTAGCATATTATGCACTCTGCCTGCCCCATTGCAGCACTCTAGAGCATCCTAATCAAGAACATCAGCAGCACAAAAAACATAATTAGCTTGCTCTGCGTAGTTTAAGTAATTGTAAAAGCTCTTTCTTTACTTTAAAATACAATATTCTCTTGTAAAAATCCATAAAATCAAATTAGACTTTTTCATAAGAAAAATATATTAATTGTGAGCTGTCAAATAGCACAAATGACGTAGCATATTCAAACTATAGGTGGCATTTTCCAGCTTTTTTTTCTTTTTTTGTTAAGATGTGTTAAATCCTGTATATTTTATATACAAACATTCACAAAAGATTTTGTACTCTTCCTTTTCAAAATATACTGCATAACTTTTGAGATGAAGATTTTTCTTCAGCTGCATGTTCAATAAATATGAACACATCAGTTTTTCAAAGGCAATTTCGTCATCTACAAAAAAGTAAGCAATTTTCTTTAAATAGTCTATAGCAATGCAATATTTTCAATCCTTAAAACTGAAGTTTATCAAAAAACAATACTATTTTTAAGAAGTCTCTCCGTTTATCCATTTTATTTCACCCATCTGATATTTTTCACCCAACTGATATTTTTCAGCTTTTCACAGATGCATTTTCAGTTCCTTCCAATACTCTGAGAGTAGAATTCCCCCGATGAAGCACTTGTGTGGCTTTCATAAAATCTGATACAAGGATACTCTTCATTTTCAAGGTAATACTTCTGCTTTTCATTTTGTTCTCCTTTTTCTCGTTCTTTGTTCAGACTATCTTCTTCTTTGTCTTTGTCTTCATCACCATCTGCGTCTCCAGGTTTGAGGGGCTCGGCTGGATCTTTGTGTTTACAGGACAGCTCTGGAGGAAGACAGGAGTGGTTGCTGTGGCTATAGTGTTCAGGGCTGCCCTGGCCCATGCTGTAGTAGCTGTCTTCCTCTTCCTCCTCTTGACATAAGCTGCCTTGGGCACTCTCTCCATCAGACTGAGAGACACTCAGCCTCACTCCAGTCTTTTGAGACAGGTCAAAGGGCTCCTCTTGAACAAAATTGGCCATGATCCCTGCTTGTGATGATAATCTGAGTCTCACTCTTCTCCTAAATCCTAACAAAGAGAAGGATTTCAACAGATTAAACAGACTGACTTGTGAAAGATGGCTGACTTTAAGATTTCAAAATGAAAACATTCTGGTGAACTCATTACTGTTTCTTATCACTAATTTATATGGTAGTCAGAGTGACACAAGAGCTGTGCACTTTAGAAAAGATGGATAGCTGTAATCAGTGTATCTGTGGGACTGTCTGCAAAATGCTCTGCACTACAGTATTATGTTGTTTCAAAGAAAGGCTACGTTGATTAATAGAAACATGACATCATCGTAGATAGAGACAGAGGTAGCAAATCAATTTGTTAGTTTTGTTCTCTGTGCTTCTCTCGGTTATTTGTTCTCAGTGATGTCAGCTACAGCTGAGAGATAAAAAAATCTGTTATGACTAAAAATGCTATCTCTACTTATATTCTGGAAAGGCAGTAAAACATTAATAAAATATCACTGATCAAATGCAGGAGCAGAGCCAAAGAAAGAATTATTCTATTTCCTCTTTCTTAAAAGCAGGAGGGAAACTGAAAGAACAATTACCCTGGAGATGAGTGTGTTCTTTTCACATCTTCAAAAAGCTTCTCTGATAGAAGAACCTGTTCTGATGTTTGACATGTATACATCTACAATGTCATTTTTGCATAGGAAGCATTATTTGCAGAATACCTGGAGTGGGTCGAATTGTACGTCTTGATACAGCACTGTATTACTGGGCTACATTCACATAGCATTTTTCAATGCTACTGGGAGTACTGTTGCTGTTAGTCATTGTTACTAATCCCCTGAGAAATGTGTCTTTATTCTGTGTGAAATGTGTCTTTATTCTGTGTTGTACAATTGTTTATGACACCTGTCATCATGGGACAATGGCTGAGATTTAGAGTAGTTTGCTCTGTTCCATGGGAATGAACTAGAACCACGATATTTCTGAAATCTCATGAGCTTGTGCAGATCAATTAGTTGCATGAGAAAGCAAGAGGTAAGATGAATGCCTGTATGAGACACAAATATAGACACAAATAGGTCCAATGAACTGAGTCAGCTGGACTGCGTTGTAGTACTTCTTTGTGTGTGCTGTCATGAACGAAAGTCCCCCAAAAGGTAAAAGGTTTTACACAATAGGTTTTACACAATCCATCAAATACTGTACCTCTTGATTCAAGTCCCCTGTCCATGATGCCATGTTTGACTTTCATGTGTCTTGTGAGGTTTCCTTTCAAAGTGAATTTGCTGGGGCAGTAAAGGCATTTGAATGGCTTACTGTCAGAGTGCAAGTGCATGTGGCCCATTAAATTATGCATTCTGTTAAACTCCTTCCCACACAGCTGCCGAGACAAAAAAAACAGAGTTTGACATTGACGGCACAGTTGTTGCTTTAGTCAAAGCTGCTTCAGTGCCATGAGATAAAGAATTTTGTCACATTCAAAAGTATTCAAAAACAGAATCAGAGAAATAAATATGTAAGTTTATGTTTTGGAGCAATTTGGAGAATATCGTGAAGAAAAATAATTGCGATCAGTTGCGTAGTCTTAAATTGTCAATGTACTTAAGGAGCAAACAACTAAGACAGAGGCTGGGCTGACTGATACACCCTTTTCAGGATTATAATATTTAAAAAACAAAACATACATGCAAAAAAATAAATAAATAGCTAAAAGGGGCTCCTATTGCATTTTTAATACATCTAATGCAAGAATAAACAAATCTTCATTAGTACGCCCAGCATAAAAGATATTCATAGTAGAACATGAGAGTGTTTCTGGGCTTGCAGTATTTTGTTTAATTATTAAAATAACCTTTTTGCTCTTTAGGCACCTCTCAATGAACTGAGGTATGAGGCATCTTCAGCACTGAAAGACGTGACATTTGCAGAAAGAGTCTCTCTTTGGATAGTGAAGGTAATAAGAAGTGAATGCAATTGGCCACGAGAGGAAATCCCATCCAGACAGGCCACTGGAGGGGTGGAAAGGGCACTCCTGTGCTGTCCTTCCTCTGCATTCTTTTTTACTAGGGTGTTCCTTTCCTTCAGGAGGAGAGAGGGACTGTAAACTGTCCAAAAGGACCGTGAGAAAACAGGAAGTGCTCAAAAGTACAAGAGAAAGCGAGATGAAATCTATTTGCGGGCTGTTCTCAAGGGACATGAGAGCCATTGTTACACAGGCAGTTTGTGCAGCGATATCCTTCCTTCAACTGAGGAGGCGCTTCGTGCCAAAATGCAGCTATCTGGTCATCTTCTTAACCCTCCCTGTGCCATTCCAAGGTCAGAGACCCCTCAACACAGCCCAGCACCCTGAGCAGGGCATTTTCCATCAAAAACCAGTGTAACATCTTCCTAAACCTTGGCATGGCAAATATCATTGCTTTTGTCAATAAGAAAAGAAACCTCAGCTGTATTTTGGGTTCACATATATGGAAACCCTATTCAGTTGCAGGTACGGTACAAAATGAGGTGTTGTTTTTTTAATTAAAACTGAATATTTAAATTCACAAACGTTTGGTTTTTATTTTTTAAATGATCATTTTTTTTATTATCTTTTAAACACTTGAAATTTTTAAAAGATCTCGTAAAGTTTCATCAGATTTACAAGCCGAATCAAAGGCATTGATTAAAGGGTGCATCTTAAAGTTGGAGTGTCAAGTATATTTATAAACACCTTGGTAAAATATTGTAAATAGAAATAGATTTTCACATTAAATTGGCATAACAAATGAAGGCAGTTTTTTAAGCTTCTCATGTTGATTCATCAACTTCATTTTAACCTTCAGTTTAATTTAGTTGTAAATCCCAGAGAGCCAAGAACATCCTCTAAAACACTGATACACCTTGACATTTGATTCCTGCTTCTGTTTCAATTCATTGAAGTAATTAAATATTTCCAGAATAGTAAATATTAAGAAGCAGTGTCTTTTGAGACAAAACTCAAGATTAGTTTATTAACAAAATAAACTCTCGAAGCCATATTGCTTGTCTCCAAATTGTGGAATAATGTTAATCTATTAATTCTGATGTCAAATTAGGGGTTTGAGAAATAAATCAATATGTTTTTTTGGCAGCTGAATTAATCAGTTTAAACACATTGATACTTACTAAGACAGAATGTCTGCCTGCTGTCGATTCTCCTTCTTTCCTCTTCAATAAAATGTTTTTTCCCAGGTCTTAGTGACACATATTTAGATACAAACTCTAATGTCTCTTTTAGAAATAATCTTGATAAACACCATGTTTCCATTCTCAAATGTAAATTGAAACAGTGCTTTTGAGCTAGTTAGTTGCAGTTGTATTAATAAGAGCTATTTTTTAATCACAATGTTGAGAAATGAGTTGATTGTGCACATCCTAATCAACATGGTCAAATACATATTCACACTTAATAACATCTATTTACATTTCTTCAGGGTGTGCTTATCTTTATATTAGATTAAAATGTCAAAATGCCTTAATTGCAATGTACACTGTAGAGCTATAATAGTACTATAAGTCTATAGCCCTTACTATTTCATACACTAAACAGCATATGACATTCATAATCGCAAGAGAGTAATAAGAGAATAAAAATGTTTGATGGTTTGATGGGTTTACTGACCTTGCATTTATAAGGCTTGACATCAGAATGGACAATCATATGGGCCTTGAGAGTCTGTTTCTGCACGAAGCTCTTGAAGCAGAGGTGGCACTGGTAGGCTCTAATGTTGGTGTGGATCAGAATATGACGCTTCATGTTGGCTAGGAGAGTGAACTCTCTCCCACAGATGCCACACTTGTGTTCTTTCACCCCCTGTAAAGGAAACATGCTGCATGATCACTGTAGACAGTTTTTAGTATGACAAATTTCATATTCTAAGCTCTGGATTAAGAGTTTTCTGTCTTTTATTTTCCCTAAAAAACATAATTCGATCATTGGAAAAATATTAGGTGAGTTAGTCCTCCATATGTCTAGCTAGGGTGCGATAAATCAACTAAGATGTGCAGGAGTGAAAGCAACTTTTTAATTCTTTATTGGTACACTATTATTGGTTACCCCACAATCCTTCAAAATCATTAAAAATTATAATCCAACAAGATCACAGGACACATAAAGGCTGAATGGCATTTTTATGGTGATTTTTAGACTCAATGCAAGAATTGATAGGGTTTCATTTTTACTTATTCATTTTGACCACTTACAGTATGTACTGTACACGAATTTGAAAAAGAATATACCCCTGTCCAATGACGTCCCATTTTGTTAAATGACAAATTACATATTTTAAATCAAGGCTAGAATACTCAAACTAAACACTTTGATAGGTGAAAGAAGTTAAATATCAGCAAAAACTGCAAAAGAAAATGAAAAGCCAAGGGTGCTGACTGTGTAAGAATTCACCCATCTGAATCAATATTTAGTAGAAGTACAATGAGCAGCAATTACAGCAGCAAGTTGTTTTTTGATACAGTAAGTCTCTAAAAACTGCATGCATGAATGGTGCAATTTTTACCATTCACCTTCGCAAATTTGTTAAAAAACCACAGATTTTTTACTGGATTGAAATCACAACTTTAAATATGGAGGTGAGTTGTACAGTAGAATGGCACAGATAACAAGACTCTGAGTTCTGAAGACACTGAATATGCGTTTGAGAGTATTGAAGTTGATCATTAAGAAGTAGAAAGTTGAACTGTCTAGATCAAGCCATCCTTCCAGACTGGACAGCAGGGGACGGAGGAAACTGTGTAGGACCACTGTGAGACCAACAGTGACTTTTAGAAGAGTTAATTTAATACGATGGTCAGCATTGTCTACAAGTCAATAATATAATATACAAAACAATAATATCCCCGTAGCAAAGCCTGTCTTTGTGGAAGAGTAGCAAGACAGATGCCATTACTGAAAAACAACAACAAAGAATACTGTTGATGATACTGCAAACATCTGGCAGAAGGTTTTGTGGTCAGGCAAGACAAAATAGACACTTTTTTGTTTAAATACAAAGTATTACATGTATTACAAAACCAACAGAGGGCACCACCCAATCAACACCATCATCGCTTTCAAGCATCGGATTGGCAGCATTATGTTATGAGGCTGCTTCTCCATCTCATCATCAGAGACTGCAAAGCTTATCATTGAGGAAAACTTGATAGAGCATAGTACATGTAAGTCTGAAAGGAAAACCTGCTTTGGTCTGCTAAAGATCTAAAACATTCACCTTTCATCAAGACAGTGACACATACAGTAGAACAAGGCCAAAGCTCCACTGGAATACTAATAGAAGAAAGTGAATTTACATCTTGAGTGGCACAGTCAAAGTCCAGACTTGAATCTATCTGAAAATCTGTAGCAACGTTTGACAATTGTCATCTGGAAATGATCCACAACGAGACTGAGAGAAGTTTAGCAAGTTTGCAAAGAAGAGTGGGCAAAAACTGTTCAATTCCAGTCTGTAAAGTTGGTAGAGGTTTATCCAAAAATACCTCCAGCTGTAATTGTAACCAAAATGTATTTTCACTGGTTATTGACTCAGGAGTGTGAATATTTGATATTTTTTTATTTTTCTTTGCTGTTTCTGCTGCCATTGATTTTCTTTCTCATATGAAAGTGTTTAAGTTGTTCAAGTCAAGTTGCAATTAAAAATGTTCACTTTAAAAAATACATACTGTATCTTTTAGAATTAAACAAAATGGGCTTCAAAATGGAAAGGGGGTAAATATGTTTCCATGACACTGTAAATATATATACCTATACAATACATACTGATGCATTAAAAATACAACAGATACTGTTGATACTACTAGTTTTCAGAATAAAGACTACGAGCTACGTGAAAAGAGTTTAAAACTGGGTCAGTTTAAAACTACTTTAAAAATGTATTTTACAGTATTACGTTGGAAATGCAGCTCTAATTCAGGTCTTCTCTGCTGTTTGTATTTAACAGTTGTTTTACCTCACCACCTCACAGGGAAAGTGACATAGAATCCATTTCCAGAGATGATGCACATTCTGTGCAACAGGTTTATTCTATCTGTCTTCTGCAGCAAGAACACTTCACCATACTGTATATGTTTCGCTCTCTTTAGAAAGTCTTTCCAGAAGCTGCTTTTTAAACTTTGGCAAGTAGTATAATCAGAAAAAGCTTCGGGAAACCTGACAGAGCTCATACAATTTGATATGTATTGAGAACACAATTACATAACAGAAAATTACAAAACTACTTCTATATACTATCTTCTTCTAGGTAAGTGCTTTATAGGCTTCATAGATGAAAGTTGTAATTCATAGTATAAAGGCATCCTGACTCATATCTAAAATATAATTAAAATATCGTTCTGACATAATCTTCCTGATGATTATAGGTCAACCATTTATAAATACACTAGAGACACAATTATTTACACCACTGTAACATATAAAAGACAGCAGGAACAATATTTTAAACAATGCATGAATTCCTAACATTGAAGTGAAAAGTGAGATTGTTTGCAGTACCTAAACTATGATCATTAAGATAAGATGAGCACAGTTTAATTGTGAAATATTCAAGTATGATAAATAAAAGATAACCTTCAGTTGTCTACATGAACAAAATTCTTTCTCTATAGTATTTATTAAGCACAAAAAGTGATTTATGGTACCTTTATGGTACAGTTTGTTACCATATACTTTGTGATTCTTATACTATACAAGGTAATACAGCACAGAGTCTCACTCCAATGAAGAATGTTAAGCAATGAACCTATTTGAGTACAATATTTTGGGAGTTTGTCATAAGCCTGTAGAAAGTGGTAGAACCTACGGTATGTCCTGTTTTTGCACTCCAGAGCTAGAAATGACAAAATCAGAAATATACAGTAAATATAAATAGTGCTTGCTAGCTTGCGAGTGCAAACGTTATGCCTGCGTGCAAAAAAGCAGCCATTTTTGCCACTTTAAATCATGCTGCAAATGTACCATGACTTAGTGAATAAGAGTGTGAGTGGCAGGAGCATCTCAATGTCTACTCTCTTGGGTTTTCTGGGTTCATCCACCCACTATCACTTTACACTAGCCAAACTGCCATCTGACAAGAAGCAATTTCCATTGATCAAGATCCAGTCAACTGACTGGAACAACCCAGGAAGGACAAACTAATGGATTCTTTTCACAGAACAACAGCTGTGGATGCTGAACAAAATGATCACCATGGAAGACCTAGAAAAGTAATTTGTCATCAGATGATTGAAATCTGTTAGCAGTTTTACAATGCTACCATCATGACTTATTAGGAAAGGGGAGAAGGTCTGCAATCTGTACACCAACATGGATGACAGATACTGTAAGTGTGATGTCTTCTCTTTCATTGTCTGGTTTAGAAATTGTACTGCACATCTAGGTAGGAGGAACCATAAAACATTAATTGATATCTTGTAGAGTTGGAGTTGATTTACAGCATATCATTTGTGATGGGACATTTAGTGCACACAATTATCTTGACACAAATTTAAATGTATGCTCCACTAATCATTACAGCAACACAAATATCACTTATTTAAATCACTTAAATTTTCAACACAATAATGTTCCATATGCCAAGTGTTTGCATCACTTCAGTCAAGTACTGACCCATTGTTACGTGTTTTGTGCACCAAAATTCATCTCTCATGAGAGCAGTCAGTCAACTGAAATGTGTCTTAGTTTTAAATGGAATGGTTCCAAGACAAGATAGCATGAAACAGCTATGTGGCAGCTTAATATCAGTTATTGAAAATTCCAAAATTTGGTCTCACATACTGTGTGTGACAAAGGAAATTGGAGATGAACTATAGATAGATAAATGTATTATTAACACAAAAACTAGATTTCTTTATTAGACTTAAAGGTAGGAGCTGCATTAGTATGGGAGTTGTAAAGGGACAGCTACAGGTTAAATCCACAATGAAAAGTAATAGAAAAGATAAATTATAGATTTCAATGTTTCAAGCCTTCTTCAAATGTGTAACACTGAGGTTTTTCTTCTTTGTTGTTAGATTTCAGCGTTGAATTAACCTCTGCTTGCTAGTTTTCTTAATAGTGAATCTTCATTCAGTCCTTGTTATAGTGACGGCTGTGAAAGGGTCTGTGGACAATGTCTTGGATGTCTCTTCCTACAGAACATATTAGGAAGGAAGATGTGTCTTGAGGGCTGCAATCAGTGCACATAAAAGATCAAAGCTCCATGTCAACCAGATCAACACCCTCACTGTTGTTGGGAACTGAAATGAGATTTTGAAAACTTGAACGCAAATGACTGTCCACGTAGACTCAGACAAAAGTTTGTTATAGTTGGTAGTATTATCCAAATTAATTAGCTTCTGTTGAACTGGAAGCAATCAAGAGGATGTCTTGACTAGTAATATGGTTTGATAACTTGAAATGTATAATCTAATAATGTTTCTATGGTACAATTGGTGATATTGCAAACACAGATGTGTAAAATTAAGTGGTACATAAATAAAATATTGAATTGCAGGTTTTTCAAATGGGCTTGTATGGTATTTTATAAATAGATGTCAATACTTTGCCAAACTCTCATTTGACAAAGCATCAGAGTGTCCGTCTCAAAGTGACATTATGACAGGAATACTTTGTACTGATCGCATAAAACTACTTAAGTGTGAAGTCAAACTGACTTTTCAAAAATAGTTTTATAAATGTAAAAGTCCAGTCCAAACAAAAAATGAATAAAATTGCACATTCAATTGTTCTTGTTGTTAAACTAATGTATATAGTAATATAATTAACCACTGAATGAAACTCCATGACAAAATTTCTTAGGAAAACTTGGTACTGTATGTATAGTATATGTAGGCATTTTTCAGGAAACAAATAATAAGCTTGTAATGTAAAAACATGGTAATTGATACTTTTCCCAATTGCACCACAATGTTCATCATGTTTGCTTAACTACATTACTAAACTGGACATTAATAAAATGAAACTGTTTTCCACACATTAGTCATGCACATCAGAAGATATATATTTGTATCTATGAAAGGGCTGATATTGAAACCAACTTTATTAACATTTTTTGCTAATGTAAGAGTGTAAAAGGGGAAATTCCAGATCCTACCTTATGGGTTAGGGTGTGCTGTTTGAGATGGTGTGGTTGCACAAACTCCATGCCGCACTCGCTGCAGATGTATGGCCTAATGTCCTTGTGCTTCATCATGTGGTTTTGGAGCTGGCTGGGGTACTGAAAGGTCTTCTCACACTCTGTGCAGCTGTACTGTGTTGGGCCGCGGTGAACAGTCAGGTGCCTCTTTAACTGGGCCAGAGTTGGGAAATCCAGGCCGCAGTCAACACAAATGTTTTCCTGGCCCCTCTCATGTTTCACCTCGTGGGCTTTCAGCTCGCTGGGATAGGCAAAGCCCCTCCCACAGATGCCACAGCTGTAGGGCTTGACGTCACTGTGCTGCATCATGTGTCTCTTCAGGTGGCTGGTCTGGGTGAAGGCCTTGTGGCACACCTGGCACTTGTGCGGCCTGGTGCCTTGGTGAGTGAGCATGTGGGTGTGCAGGTGGCTCAGTTGTTTGAAGAGCTTCCCACACTGACTGCAACCATGAGGCTTGATGCCACTGTGGCCCAGGATGTGAGTCACCAGGTTGTACTTTGAGGTGTAGGACTTCTCGCACATGCGGCACTTCCAGCGCTTCTGATTCTCACCTACATCCACGTAATAGCTGTCATCGATGTGGATGTTGACTCCCAGCTTTTCTGCAGCATTCAGCCCGCTGTCATTTGTATTTGGGCTTCTCCTGTGCCTGCCCAGGAGCTCCCTCCGATACAGCCCATGGGAGAAATGCATGGTTGGGCTGGGTATGAGGAAAGGAAAGGGGATTATCCCTGGGTGGATTTTAGGGAAATAAGAAGGCGAAGGGTGCATCAGGAGAGGACCAGGAGGCCATATTCCCTCAGGTTTGACCGGTTCCTGCTTTATCTGCATGCCATCAAATCGCTCCAGTGATCTATAGAGCTGAAACCTATTTAGGTCTATCATCTGGGGACTGTATCTAGGGAAGGGAGCTGGAACGTGCTGAGGGAGATGATATGACAGGTGAGGCCGGTCCACTGTCTTAGCGCCAATTTCCTCTGTCACTTCGTCGGTGGATTCCAGTTCTTGGGGATTCGCTTTGAAAGGTGTCCTTTTGCGTTTCCGAGATCCTTCTTCCAAGCCACCGTGGAATCTCTCGAACCCCATGAAGTGTTGGGCCCCAAAACCTGGGAATCCCCTGTTGAGGCTGTCCCCAAGTGGAGGGAATCTTGGGGGCTTGAGGAAAAGAGGCAGAGGCTGCAGGCAGGGTCTGCCATTCAGCAATGTCTTCATGCCATCGCTATAATGATTCCTCTCAGGTCTGTCTTGCATGACATTTGTCTCCATCTCCACACCAAGAGTTTTACCCTTTTAAACCAAAGGTGCAACAGTTAGATGTGATGATAGAATGGAATATTTTTCTTTACAATACAATGCAAAGCATGTCAAATGTAGGATTGCATAATACCTGGGTCTAGGCCTGAAAAACTGCGTTTTATCTTTGCCTAGTGATCCTGATCAAAGTAAGCAAAGTTCTTAAGATGCTAAGCAAAAGTTTGTTTTCAAGGTTGAGAATTGCTCCTTATTGAGCCAATTGAGTTTAGTTTTTTTTTTATATAGTGTCGATGAAATTAAGTGGAACATCTGTCATCTTCAGATTTTATCTGAAATTACAAACATCAACAGTTCTTCCAGTTGAGTTACAAGATACTCTAGCATTTATGCACATTTTATGTCTCGTTGCACATTTCAAGATAAGCAGGGAACCTAATGGATATCTACTGTATCCTACCCAACTTGAAACCTGTTGACATTTGAAACATCCTTCAGAGGGCAATATCTGCCCATCCACTCTAAACAAGGTTTTTGCAAGACTATTGAGATACAATTTTGTAGGCACACAGCTTCACTAATAAAAGTTATTAGTGGTAACTACATGTGCTGTGTAAATGCCATTCTATCTTGTTGGGGACATTCATAATACTCATTATGTACAGCCACACAGGGACCATGCATGTAGTCATGGCTAACCTTTCTCAAAGTCTTTGCTTGCAGGCTGTGGTGATTTGTGTCATTAGTAGACCCTAGTCAGCATTCCATATGCATAATAAGTGATATAGTATGCTATGTGTGCTCTGGCAGAACACAATCCTGACTCTCTAATGCAGGGTATTTGTTTTTTGCTGTTGGCACTTGTGTGATACAGGTTGTTCGTTGCATTTTTCACCTGGGTGGGTCTGAGACAGAAAGGGCCTGTGTTATAGAATATATCCAATGAAACAATAATTTACTGAGAAAGATGTGCCAGGAGCATAATAATGGGTCATAAAACGTGTTCTCAGCACACACTTTGTTCATTATGAAAATAAGAGAAAGGATAACAGCAGTCAGCACAGTGCCGCAGTGGTTGGCATTGATGCCTTGCAGTGCTGGGGTCCTGGGTTCAATTGCTGGGGTGCTGCTTGCGTGATATTTTTATGTTCTCCCTGTGTTTGGGTAACTTTCCTCCAGGTACTCTGGTTTACTTCCACAGTCCAAAGGCATACTGGCCCTGTCAAAGGTATATTCTGTCTTGCACCCACCGTTTGGTGGGTTACTGCATAAAATTGTTTGAAAATAGATGGATAATTAATGCAGCATTTTGCACAACACTTGTTGTTTAGAACTGCAAAAAAAACCTCAAATGCTAATGTCGTAGATTCAACTAAAAAAAGACTGAAAGGACTATTAATGATTAGAGATTATTTTCAGTAATGTGCTAGAATAGCAACCGTTCTTTGCTTTTTTTCTCTAGTGACAGAAAACCCTGAATGTTTTCTATGTAAAAACAACAGTTCATTTTGAGTTAAGCTTAACCCTGTTTCCAACATTTACCCTGCCAAAATTCAGTGTCTTGGCAGGAATGCCAGGTGTTTTGAAATGGATGGGAAAAACTTGGCCTTGGTCTTGCTCAATAAAGAAAATAACACTGTTAAGGGAATCAGAGATGTTTATCGCTTTCCCATCAACATTGTCATCATCACACAATTGTCTCCTTTTTTTCTGGATCAGTTTTTGAGGCCAGGTTGGGCAGAAAGAAAAGAGTGAAATTTACCGAATCTGGAAGGGGAACCAAGTCAAAACGAGCTCACCTCTCCCTCTCTATACAGTCTTTGACACGTTAGCCTACTTTTTCAGTTCTCCCTCTCTGGGAAACTACCCTGCACCTTTCCTCATTTGGATAGAAGGATTGAGGTTCTTCCACTTCTTCTTTCTATATCCACAGGTTTCAGATCCAATTTTTGCTGTATCAGGTTACTTGCAATTTTGGTAGAACTGCCGGTATTCACAAAGCTTTAACTTTAAAAAAAAAACTGAATTTCAGTAATATCAGTATTGAATTCTGAAAATCAGAAACCATTTTCAAGACATTTACTAGTTAAAAATGATTAGGATAAACATCAAATTGAATGTGTGTATGATCACATTTGTTTGTATTATTAGTGATTTAGCAGGACAAGATGAAGCAAGCCTATTGTAGCTCCATTGATTCCATTGACTTTGAAACTCTGTGTAGGAGCCCATCGAATTTGTAAGGAAAGCAGTTATTTGGCTCACAAAATGTCATGTAACTCACATATGTAATTATGTCATCATAAACAGTAGGAACTGGATCTTTTGGAGGGTGTTAAGCTGGAACTCTATTTTCATTGTAACTCCAAAAGCTGCAAAAGTATACAATCAATATGCAGTTGACCTATTGAGAATGCTTTTTTGCTGTATGCAATTGGAAAATTAATAATTGTAATGCATTGTAAGGGTATATTAGTTAGAATAACTGATAAATAAGTAATGCTTTAAGTTGATCTTTTCCATCCAAGATGCAAAAACCATTACAAAAACATTTCTCCTCGTTGGTAATGATGCTTGTTTTGTGTTGAAAAAGAGGAGGGAAAATGTGGCAACTAAGACTTAGTAAGATTATCCATTTTGCTTATCTCAGTCTAGTGAAGAAAGGAAAAAAGAGGAAACAACAGTTATGAACCCTGGCAAAGTTTCACTTATTATGAACCTAAGCCATTTTATTTTCTTTTTTTATTTTTTTTTTTATAGAAAAGGATAGGGAAGGGGTGAGGGTGAGATAAAACACTGTGAGGGAGAATGCAGGGGAACATTTTGTATTTCTGTAATGATTAATCAGAGATACTGTATATTCCTTCTTGTTTCCATTGTTTCTTCAAATTAGGAAAAAAAAAAACATTTCAGTATCCAGTAACATTTTCTCTTGGTGTTAGGTTTAAGTATTGTGGACATCTCCAGATTTTCACTACTAAAACTCATGAACTATCATACTTATTATGTATAGATAATTCTGAAACTAAAGCGATTAACAAAACATCAGATGTACAGTATAACCTGTCATAAATTAAATTTAGAACAGAACACAGTAGACATGTTGGAATTATTTTATTCTTTGTTCCAGAACAATTTTGAAATATTATTAATAAATGAAAATAAATTTCCAAGTACTGGAAAGAAATTGAAAAGAAAGTTTATGTTCAGCTGAACTGCCAATTGTTTTGCTATGGCTTTAGTAAAGAACTCAAGGGATAGTTTTGTTATTCAGTGTATTTTATGCTACTATTTTCTTGACTTTCTTAGCAGAAGTGCCAATAATGTACTTTCACCATGATGCCCCAGATAGGGGAAGACACACAAAAACACAACTTTCACCTATGGGTAGGGAGAATGTTGCACGCTGCACTTTCAAGCATTTAAAGAAACAAAGGCTATCTACAAACTGATATCTACAAACCCAGAGATATACAGTATCCATCCATTTTCTAACTGCTTCATCCAATTCAGGGTTATGGGGGGCAGGAGCCTATCCAAGCAAGCAAGGAACACAAAGGCTGGATACACCCTGGACCGGACACCAGCCTATGGCAGGACAGACAAACAGAAACAGACAGACATGCACACATTCACACCGGGGCAAATTTGGCAGAACTGTAGGAGAAAACCAGAGCACCTGGAGTAAAACCACACAAACATGGGGAGAACGTACAAAGTCCATGCAGGTGGTGCTCCATGTCCGGAGTTGAACCAGGGGCCCCAGCGCTATGAGGCAGCAATGCCACAGTGAGCCAGCATGCTGCCCCATAGTAAACAACAGATGCTAATTACAAAACACAATTAGAACAACTTTGAAATCCTTCCCGTTGTTAGAAATCCACTGTGAAACTGTGAAAACTTGTGTTCTTGAATTTCCATCTAACTGGAGGATTAAGGTACTGTACATCAGGAAAAGGATTTTCGGAAATCAAGCTGCACTGTGTCTTACATCCTGGACAGACAAATGTTAGGTCAGCAATATCCAAATTGTATCTTCAACAACTTCCAGACACAGTACACACCGTTAATGCACCAGATGCTTAAACTAACTAAAACAAGGATGTCCCATATGGTTTAGATTGTTGGATTTTCTTAAGTGAACTATCAATTTTTCCTGCAAAAAACCTAATGATACTACAGAATGATTTGCTGTCTTTACATTTTGTATGCATTCTGTAACTTTCTTCCAAAAAAATGGAAGTGACTGCATTAGATGTTTATTCATGCACTGTATTAACTATTCCAGAAAAAGGAATTTCCAGAACACAAAGCTGAATAGGAAATAGATGCTTAATGATGTCAGTTAATGTAACTTGTCATCAATGGACCTCAGAACAATAGGCAACATCCCTTGAACATCATATGGTTAAATAGCGCACAGGGCACTGTAGTAAAACGTGGAAATGACAACATTGGTCAACAGATGAGTTATTATTTAAATATTCTCAATAATAAAAACGTTCTTATTATTAGTATGAACAGTAGTTTTGTCAATGTAGAAAAAAATGTTTGTTTTCATTTTGTCCTTATTGGCCAGGAGTTTTTAGAACTCCTGAACAGATGTTGTAAGGTCAAATCCCAAGAGAAGACACCGATGTTGCATTCTTGAATGAGTTTACTTTACCCAGATTGCTCCTACAACCTCAGCAGTGAAACATGGGACCAAAACATGCATGGAAGAAAATATTAATTATAATCTCTGAAACTGATCTATTTGGTTACAAGCATCAGTCAAGTAAATAAAAAAAACGTAGAAATAGTTCCTCAAAAATCAGCAGTGGAAAAAAAAACTGGCACAACTCTAAGGCTTGTAAATTAATACTGGATGACGCACTGCTTCCATAATTACAGTTTTATGATATAGAGTACTGGTACTTTGATATGTGTGGTCAAAATCATTACATTTCTCTCACTTACATTTAATTTGTACACATTTATACAATACTGTATATGTACAGCACTTGAATTAACTGAGAGCACAGAAACCAGAAGGATTCCAAAAATAGTAATGAAGCTCAGCTTCAAACTTTAGAACATGAAGTCCACAGATAATTTCTTCACATGTGAAGCTGAGGTATGCAACAAACTGCCACATCATATTGTGAGTAGTGAGCTATTGAGGGAAAGACTAATCTTAGTGATGCTGATGTTGACAATTATATATGGTCTTCCCTGACTTCTACCCTTTCTTAGATTTTACAGTGTGGCTAAGAAGTTATACCAGAAGACTAACAGCAGTAAGTAATTACACCCTACTGCAGTTGCTCAGGTAGATAAATAGTAATTACATGTAACTGGTATTAAGAATACTAAATGAAAGGGTGCTTTTTCAGTGGTGAGTGCAAAAATGGACTATTACTAACAATTTCTCCAAAACTATTTAAAGCAGTTAGGAGAAAAGTTACGCTGCAAAATTACATTTTAGCACCTTTTAATGCGTGTGACTATTTGTGCAAAAGTGATTCTGCTGAGAAACTTAGAATTCTTGTATAGTACTTAGGATCTAGGCCTATTTTTTTAAAAGCAACCAGTATCATATCTAATTGTAAAATTAGATTTACAGTTGTTGCACTTTTGGCACAATTTGCATTTCCATCATTCAAGATCAAACATCACATAGCTAACTCATTTTGAAACAGGCCAGATCAACATTTGTATGTTTTCTCATTAATCAATGTTTTTGCTTGTTATAGCTGAAAATATAAAAGATTAAAAGCTTTTGTAAAAGATTTACAAAAATAAAATAAGACTGACAGTGTTCTTTATACAAAATTAAGTTACCAATGATTTCTGAAACACAGACAGTGCATACGCAAAGAAACTGTGCAATACTTTTTCTTGGCTTTATATTTAAGAGCACAAAGAAGCTTTTCTACCACAGCACTAGGAGTGAGGATGCTGGGACGTCAGAAAACCATGCACAAACCAGGTATCATAAACTTTGTTAACTGTAAATAATTTGGTGCAGGGGAAGCTACATGCCATTTAAGCAAAAAGTAACTAGATTTTACATTTGCATAGGCATGTCATTTTACATCATCCCATTTTTATGCAATCACTTTCTCCCAAATATTTTGTTTGCTCCAGGTCCTCTCTTCATCTTCCCCAATATACTTCTTGCACAGACACATCCTTCAGCAAACACAATTGGGCCCTATTGATATGATCATGTTTCAAACCGCTGCAGACGTAGTAAGAGCACGTTGAACAATGTCCCTCATCATTTACACATATTCACCGACAGAGAACCATGCAAAAAAGAAAGCTTATTGTGCATTCACATGCAAGAATATATTACATTTACAATGTTATTAAATGGAATTGATATATTTAAGATTCACCCAGCATTTCTTTATCTAAAAGCAGAAGCACATTGAACAGTGATCCAGATCCACATGACTCACCAGGGCTTGCGGCTGAGTGACTGACTGTTGCTCTCCTCTCCACTGTATACCTGCTATTTGTGGGGCTCTCTACACTGAAAAGGCAGAAGTAGTGACAGTGTTTGAAGTGCCTTAAGAAAGAGAACAGGAACAATCACTTTGTTCTCATTTTTCAGATGAGTACCTTCGGAAAGAAGGAAGGAAGGGAGGGGAGAGGAAGTCAACAAGCCTTTGCCTTCCTGAGAAAAAATAAGGAAACTCCAGATAGCCATCTCCATTTCTCTTAGAAATACAGATTTATCTGACTTCAGGAAAAAGAAATGGGGTATGCATTGTTGCCTCCAGTTTATACACTCTTATTAAGCAAGTTTTGACCACTAATGATTATGATAATCAAGACAAAAATCATTGTTTCATATACCCATCTACTGCACATTCCTAAATAAAGAGGAACTAATATACTGCATGAACAAAGATCATTTAAACCTTTAAACATTTAAAGGTCTTTCAGTCTTTTCTGAACTCAATTTATTTCATATGCAACACCTTATTATGTGGTGTATTAAATGAGGCAGTTTATTACCATATTGCCAGTACCCAGGTATTTACAGTAGCTGCAGTGAGATGTTAACGATCTCTGGTCTTGTTCAGGTTTTGTTTTGCTTTAGTTCTGCACCAAAACACTAAGAAAGCCAGAGGGTGATGTTCTTTAGATATTGTTCAGTATGCTGCATTGTAACATATCTCATGATTATAAACCATTGTGAAAAAAGAGTTTCAAAGATTTTGCCAATCAGACATTGAAGCTGGACATGACTAATGCAGAGTGCAGGCATAAGGATCATGACCTGCCTGTGCTCTTAATATCTTTTAATGAGTCCATGCAGTTTGCTGAAGCCTGAAAGGTGCTCTGTCTCTAGTTGTCTCCAATGAGATGATACAACACTGTCTGTCTGGTTTGCTGTGTCGGCCATCACATTTGCAGTTTTCTGTGCATCAGTGTCATTTGTTGCATTAAGTGGGAGACATCATATGCTTTGTTCAGCTTGGTTAAATGATCTTCTGTCTGCATTTCTGGGTCATAGAGCACAAATCTGATGGACTGTCACTGGTGACTTACAGCAAAGCCCTGGTCCTGGGAACTACTGTATACACCTGCTGGTTCCAGCTGAGCTCTCTACTTAATGAAACTCTTAACTGAATTTTTTCTACTCGAAAGTTGGAGATGTTAAGGTAGTTTGAAACGCAACACTGAAAAGGCAACATCCAGCATGCCTAAGACATTGATGGTGATTGTTGAGTTAAAATTATTTTTTTGAATGTAACTTAAGTGTTGTCATGTAACTGAACACTAATCTGGACTACAAATCAATGGGACCAGAACTGTGAACCCATGCCTTAGATGACATGTTATCTCTTATCTCCCAGGCTGCTGTACAGTAAATTAATTCATTTTTCCTATATTTTAAAGTGATTTTTTTATTTAAAAACCAGAAAAACATAAAATGAAATTATTACACCTGACAATACAAATATATTACAGTTAAAAATGTTTTGTTTAAAAACTAGTAAAAATTAAAATAAAGACATTCTGCAACAATATTAACTATTTTGTATATTTCCTTAGATAATGCAAGCCCTTTCATAAAGACATTACACAAGCATGTTCTTTTACACAGTAAAATGTAAGTAAATGCACCTGCTTGTGCAAAGGAACAGGCACAGCCTTAATGCATGCATTATATGTTGAAGTAAGCAAAAGCTTTTTCTAGAATGTAATTTTAATTTAACACCTAGCACCTTTTCCCCCAGAAGTCACAAATAACAATACTGTTTTGAACTGCTTTGGAAATGTAATATTAAGATTTGATTTGAAATGCCTTGGAATGTTTTGCAATTATTTATTATTAAAGGGGAGTGAACTCCTTTTCAGCTGCTTTAAAAGTGTCGCCATCAGTGGCAGTAACTTCTGTGTTAAAAAGACAATACAGCTACGAGGTGTGGAGCTCCAGGGAAATCCTGGAAGCCAGGTCAGAGTTCAAAGAAGTATTTGTCTTCTTCCACTCAAAACTATAAAAGTAACAAACGTGTGCACTTCCTTAGACTGGTGTTGAACTTTTTGATCAAATAGCTGGTTTACGTAAGGATGACATTTTAAATTCCTTTTGTATTATAACTCATTGCTTTTCAAATTAAATATGAATATAATATTTTTATTTATTTGCATTTGAGTGTGAGAAAAGGCTATGCAATATTCTAGACTAGCTTTTAAACAATCATTTAATTCACTGGCACACTGCATTTACATATTGTAGATATAAAATTGAACATGTCCCTCTTTGGTGTCCCAAAAGACTGGAAACACTGTGTCTGCAGTTTTTGTTAATCATTTCTTTCTTTCACCCTGTTTCATTTTTTGTTTCCTCTCCCACTCTGTGTCATCTTAGTAAAATATCTTACTGTTATGTTTCACCAGAATTTCAAGCCAAAACCCTCTTAGACTAAAGCAAGTGAATGGGGTAAGCAAGAGTAAGAAAGATACACAGGTCTCTTTCCAGTGAACACAATTTGCATCAGGTGTCCTGATTATCATGATTGTGCTCATGAATTAAACAATGACTTGAGTTGCATTTGAGAAGGAAGAAATTTAACAGCAGAAAAATTCAAATGGCACAAATACTGTACTACTTGAAGGTGCTGTCAAACTGTAATCAACTGTTTCAGCTGCTGAAGACAGACAGGAAAGGCAAAGTTCACTTTTAAACATTGTTTTCTCCAGTGCCAGACAACTCAGGGAAGGACAGAAGAATCATATTTCCATAGAAGGCAGATCCATTCTAATTTTAAAAAGCTGTAAGGATGCAAGCTGTAACATCCTTTCATCCTTAGGTGCACTTTTATTCCAAATGAGGTAAAAGGAAAATATGAGGCACCTTATGAGGCTGCTACTGTATGCAAGACCTGACACTCACAAAACTATAGTTTTAAATAGTTCAAATTGGTTTGCCACATGACTCATATTCAAATTAGTCTTCCGATGACTCTTGGGTCCACAGTGTTTCATTATGTGAAGCATTTCAAACACATCTACTGTAGGATAAATTACATGTACCACAGCAACATCCCAATGGACACCAATGATGTACAATTGACCACTAATCCAAACTTATGACACCATTTTGATTTATTATTGAATTTGAAAGCAATATCAGATAGATTATAGTTCTGCCTTATCACTTTTTCTATCAGCTGTACTGTCTCATCTGCGAACAATCATTAGGTTGTTTTGGAAACTGCCTCTAGCTTACATGTGTTCAAAGCCCAAGTGACAGAACATTTGGGAAATTAGAGTCCCTGTTTGTAATATGCCTCAAAGAACAAGATTCATAATTGAGTTCAAGGAGAATACAAATTCAAGAAAATGCCTGATGTTTGTTGCATACTACTTACCTTTAAAGAACGTTGCTTGTTTGTGTACCTAACTAATACATTTGAGTAGGGAGCTGCTAATGACACCATGACAATGGTGTCATTGTGCAAAATGCAAGGAATACCCAGAGGTTAATTTGACACATGAATATAGAAAGACCTATATTACTAATGACTTTGCTTCGTATTCCTGATCCCTCTCTTTGTTTTTTTTTCTCATTTAAAGATATAGTACTTCCTCAGGTGAAACAATTTCTTCTTTCTACTTTTCAGCAAGGAATTAAGCTTTACTTGTATCTTTGCAGCTCATAGGCTAACACAGTTCCCTACTCAGCCTCTTCAGTTGCTGCTATCTAATGTGCTTCTACAGTACGCTTCAGCACAGAATTAACCTCTACTAGACCCTAACTAATACATTAGTTAAATGAAAAATTCAGTAGGTATCAAGGTACCTCTTTGTACAAAAACACAAAGATTATTTTTAAAGATTAAAAGTTGTTTCAACAATTTATTACACATTACAAAAATATACTTATTGTCAAATGGTTGTGGGGGTTTAGCAATGAAAGGCTATAATGAAAAATCGGATCTATACAGATTATCTTTGTTGAGAAAAAGGGAAAGGGCATGGAATAAATGAATTTTAAAATGTTGTAATAAATTCATTGTATATTAATGTTGCTTTTCCTATTACTTTAATGTAGTTTGGACTTCAATAGTTTATTATAGTATTATGAAGATTAATAGAGCCATAAACTAAAGAACAGAGACCTCTGGTGGTAGGTGTAGTATAATTCCTCTATCATAATGGGGTAAATTTGACAAGACATTCAGGTGAGGTAACACTGATTATTAGTGAATTGCTGTGTTAATGTAAGAGGTAAAAATTACCCTCAGTTAGATATAAACATTTTAATTCAAGGATAAAAACAATTTTATCTTTTAATAGACCCAATATATAGTTCTGAATGTATTGTTCAGTAGAATAAACCTTACAACCATTCTTTTAAATTAATGACCTTTTGATTTATTTTAATGTATGTGATATTTCTATGCACATATTAATTCACACCAAAACACTAATTTCTATCTCTAAACCCTCAGAGGGACTTTTTCAAGACGTGATTATTAAGAAACAACCATTATCTTAACTATGGCCAAAACCCTAACCCAGACCCAGATACAAACCTAATCCTAATCCTAATCCGATCGTGACCCAACAAAAGTTTGCTTTCAAATGATATAGCAGCAAACAAATAATGAAATGACTTTGGAGAGTTATCAAACAAGCTGCAAAATCTATAAACACTTTTCATCCACAGTTGGTTTCATCCTATTAAAAAGCTGACCTTGGTAACTAGGGAAATTCCTCACGAAGCTATTGTATTGTGTGTGATCATGATTCTCCTGTTATCTAAAAGTCAAGAGCAGTTTTTTAGTACAAGCCAGAGGCTGATGTGAGCACTTCAAATCCCCTATACAAGGATACACCAGGGCTTGAGGATACTGGATTATCCACTGTACTGTACAAGGATTCTGCTAATGTTAACCAGCATTCCTTCCAGCTACACTAGGAGAAACTTTTGAAAGGGAAAGTGGCAATATATAGACTTTGTTTCTGCAATATTGAAGGCTTGTAACTTCATAACCGTGGTTTATTTAGGTCATTTAGCCTTTGTAACAGATCTTTTGTGTAAATCTG